GCAGTTCAGCGTCTTAACCACTTGAGCCACCAAGTACTCTCATTTTAAAAACTTACTAGGGAAAACGGAAGAGTGCTGTTTTTTGTCCAGAGGTCCCAACTTGTCAGTATGTGCTCTGTGACAGAGATGGATGTGGCGAAATGGCAGAAAGGTTGGTGATATCCATAAAGCATCCAGGGAAACAGCCTCTGTAGGGGCAGATGAAGCATGAAAGTGCTGAATCTTTTCAACTGCTTGCTGAAGTGTTTATAGAAGGCCTGCAGTAGCTTTACTCCAGCAGTAATTCATTAGGACCCTGGTCAGTTCCAGCAGTTACTTTTTTCCTGGGTTGGGTAGATGTGCTGACTTTTAAATAGCCTTTTAAGCACCACTTGAGTTCAAACACAGTAGTAGAAAAACAATCTTGTAACTTCTATGCCTGAAGTACCAGTCAAAACATGGCAATAGTCTCTATATGAACAAGGGTGAATGGGGATACTTTGAATCTTTTTCCATTTACTTCCAATCCTGTTTGCAAAGAAAAAGTATCTCCTTGCCCCTTGCATCGTAACTGGCTTTGAACAGCTTGTGATAGGATGAACTCACAGTATTTATGTTATCATATGCTACGTGAAAATGTATCTTGCTTGGCAAGGAATAACAGAACGTAACCTTTTAGTGATATGGAACTGTGTACTTGGTGTATGCCTATTTCTAAGCAGTATGGAGAGAACTGATAGCAGCAATGGTAGGGCATTATTGCCATGGAAAAATAGGTGGAATCCATGTGTTGTTATTATAAGATTTAAAGAATATGTGATGATGCATTATCATTTTAGGGTATTTAAAAATTCCCTCAACATGTCATTTCTAGGAACTTTCTTTTATTAAAGAATATAATTGCCCCAGGGATTATAATTTTAAAGAGAGAAGATGCTAAAGAGAAAATCTTAATTTTCCATTTGCGTTCACAGAGTTTGTGGTGTGTTAGCAAGATCTGTAGAGCATCATTTCAAAGCAGAAGTGTGTTTAATGACACCTTGTGGACAAGTTTGAAATGTCTGTTCCATTCCTGTATTTCAGTAGCAAATAAGGCCTAACTAGCTTCCCTTACTGGGTTTTTTGTTATAGTAGTAATTTATGTAAAACCTAAGGCCAGTCTGGTTGTTGGAAGAAACAACCACTGTATTAAAATACAACTAATTCACCTCTGATCTTGTTTGTGAACTTTTTTCAATCTCTTTACCTTAGTTTGGGGCAAAAGCTTGTGTTTCTGTAATATTCTGAATCTGTCTACTACTACTACTACTACTACTACTACTACTACTACTACTACTACTACAAATGTAGCATGAGGTTTTTCACAGGTGCCCTTAAAAAAAAGAGGGTGTTCTGTGGCATTCGCATAGAAGTTACAGTTATGTCCAATGGTGTATTTCCTATGTTACATATTTAAGGCCCCGGTCACACGGGCCAGAAAATCCAGGGGGGGGGGAAGCATGGCTGTTTGCCCCGGAGCAAAATAACGCGCGGCTGCCCGATTACACATCCCGTCGAGGTCCCATGGTTAGGGTGTGAGGCTATCCTGCAGCGCAGCAAAGAAGCAGCGCAATCAAACCAGCAATCGCTAGGTGCCGTTTCCGTGGTAAACGGGAATATTTTTTTCTCACCAAAAGGTGAGCATGCGCATGATCGTTTGTGCGCATCCTGTGCAGACTAAAAACCTAACCAGTTTGCAATGGGACTAGGATGGGACGCGATCAGACGCCCGCCCTTGCCCCACATTTTCCAGAAACTAATACATCGTAAGTACTAGTTTTTTACTCCGTATCTTCGGCACGAAGCCACAGGTGCACTACACTTCCCAGATGTTGTGGTGTGATCGCACCCGGAAAATCCGCCTCTCATCTGTATCTTTAGCGCGGCAAATGCTCCGTGTGAAGAGTCATTTTACATTCAGAATCATCTTCCTACCATAAATCCGGTACTTGGTTTTGAGCTGTAGTTCAGTCCCTGGAAACAAAATTCAGAGATTAACATTTTATAATGTTTAAGCAGCTGCTTAATTACTGATTGCTGAACTACAGTAATACCTTACTTATTGTGAAATAGTTAAGTGCTGTTTACAGTATCAGAGTAGTATTGTATCATAGAAGCCATTCTCCTAAGGACCTTCCCAGACAAGCAATTTCAGTGTAATAAATGTGCAGTTCTGTTGGCATGTTTCCCCATTATTGGTGGCATAATAAGGGGGGATTACAATAAATATCATAAACATCAATCCAATATTGAATGCAAAATGATGAAGGTAGAACCAGTGGACAGTGCTTTATTGGTTACCATCTCTTCTTCCCTCTTCTTTAGAGAAACTAGATGAGGAAGAGGAGCAGGTAGCAGTTATGCCTTGCTTCCTTTCTCTTGCTAAGCTGGATCATGGCTAGCCACCAGTGGAGTCTGAGAGGGAAAGAACCTGGTGACAATTAGACCTGGCAGGCTGATGGGACCTTGCAAATGCACACACTCGCTCTCCTTTGCTAAGCTGCCTGAGTGGCTGTCCGCCAGTGGAGTCCCCATTGCTATTGTTATTTCCTTGCCGAATGCTCCGCAACTGCTGTTGGTTGTTGGCTATGAGGGGAATACTAACAAATCATTTTCATTTAAAAAGAATTAATTGCTCTCCCACTATGCAGAATCAGTCAGTGTAGGAACATTCATCTGGCTGTCTTTTAAAAAACAACTAAAATGTAGAATACCAGCAATGTCATCCCCTTCTCTATCTCCTTTCGACCCTCCCTCAAAGCAACAATTCTCCCTCCGAGGAATTTTTAAGAAGTGTTTTAAAAAAATCTTGGAAGGCTATGCACTATATTTTTTTTGGTATGCAAGCATCAGTTTGAACAAAAAACCCCATTTAATAAGGATCCCTGAAGAAATATGGTCAAAACTGGCAAGCATACTGAGCCTCATGGTAGAATATTGCAAATGTTATTTTCTATCCCATCCCCCCGGGTAGACATATCCCAGTCCCCACCACCACCACTTCTTGTATCTCCATAGTACTTCATGGGACAGGATATCAGACTATAGTATCTGCAAAGGGCCTTGAGAGACTGTTGCTCAAGGGTAAAATACTGTTGGGGCAGGCTTTGAATGATTGTGCTAAAAAGCCCCTAAGTGTTTCTGTTTGACATGTTCCGAGTAATACTGATTCCTAGATGTTCTGAGAACTTCACCATAAGTTTGAATTAAAACTAAAATATCTCTGTGTGTGTGCTTTTTAAGTACATGAGAGCCTAACCTACCTTATGGTCAAACTGCAAGCACGCTTCATGTACTAACTGTGAACTTTTCCTGAAAGTTTAGAAGAATGTAAATGAAGGTGGATGGGGAAAGCTAGAAGAACATCTGCCTCTTTCACCTCTCTATGAATCATGTGCAAGGGTTACAAAAATAAACACTATCAATGGGCATGTTTGTACTAGATTTGGTTTTTGAAAGTCCCTGTTCATTTTGCCATCAGTGCAGATGCAGGCCTCCTTTGGTTTTGTTAAGTTTTCAGACACATGTGAAACAATTGCCTTGAGGCAGAACTACATGTTACTTTTTATTCTGTGATTTTAAGGCTTTTCCAAAAGCAGCCTCTGGTACTACAAGGAGGGAGGCTTTAAAACTATTTCTAGCTGCTGTTTTCTGATCCGAAATGCTCCTATCTGCTTTAAAACAAAGGGAAAGTTGTTGTTTTTAAGTCAGAAAATTGACAGTGGAGGAAAAAGACAAAGAGCCATTCTTCCCCTCCAAAAAGCCCCAAAGTCTGAATTTGGGGGGAAATATTTGGGGGGAAATATTTTAAAATACTAACAGAACTAAACTCAGTTATCAGACTGCAGAATGCAAGACCCTAGATTTCAAGTCTTGATCTTTTTAGAAAATGTTTGCTCTCTAAGGCTTGAGAAGGTCAATATGGCTAAGTAATGTGCTGCAATATTTGTTAATATTTGTAATATACTAAATATTACATTCACTCATAATCAAGCTGCTCTACTGTAAAACTTTATACTGGGAGGAGAAGCGTGATGTCCTCTTGTTAGGATTTTAGTTAATATGCTTGTGATCAGATCTATAATTCATTTGTAGTCATTATTTTGGCAGGCATAATGAAACTAGGCAGTAGTGTGAGAAGGAACATGACTCATTAGCTTTGCCTTGAATGCTTACTAATTCTGTGGAACAAATGTCTTCTCATCACCCCCCACTTTCCATTTAAGCTGCAGACACCAGTCTTTTTAAAGTGTTTATTCATGTTTCCTGGTTAGCTAAGTTGCTCTGTTTATCATACATTATTTAGAGCAACTTAAAATGTAGCAGACTTGGTCGAAGTAAGGATGAGGAGAGAGGGAAAACCCACAGTACCTAAACAATATGTTGTAAGGAGACTTTCACAGGCATGCTGTTCTGATTCCTGATTTGTGGTCAATGATATAATTACTGGAAAAGAGGAAGCTTGGTAACCAATTTTATATTTGGACATACTAGTGTAACATACACAATCCCTGAGTTTCCACGATCAGATCCACAAACAAGCAAGTTAGAGGTCTATGGTGAAATATAAGAAGAGTGCATGCTTTTATGAATTGCTGTTTTATGAAATAATTTTAGGTGTTGGATGATGTTCATCTGTTCATACTTGGTAGCACAAGGACCACATCTTAATACAGTGGAATTTTTAACTATTGCTCCTAGTTGTTATCACAAGAGTAGAGCAACTAAAGATGAACTCTCATAATTCAACTTTTCAGCAGGCTCCAGTTCTGCAGGATCTAATCTTCATGCCAAATTATGTGCCTCTCTGATTAAAAGGTGTGGGGGAGGGGAAATCTCCTACTTTTAATTCCACTTTTCCCCAATAGTACGCTAAATATGGTTGCTATTTATATCATATTTTCCTCTGTGCTTTAAGTCTCTACTTGTATTTTAGAATATATAAAAAACTTAAATTGACTGGCCTTCTGCTTTTCTTTCAGGTTATTGGAGTCATTAGCAAAGAATATATCCCCAAAGGAACACGTTTTGGACCTCTGGTTGGAGAGATCTATACCAATGACACTGTTCCTAAAAATGCGAACAGAAAATATTTTTGGCGGGTAAGCAAAAAAAGAGAGTTTTATGAAAGTAAAATGCTAAATAAGTACCTAAGAAATGCCACTGCACTTCCATTTTGAAACTTACTAGAGTGCCGGGCATGGGTGGTAGGCAAATTCTTTACATGGCACTATGGTAATTTAAATAAAAGTCAACATTCTTAAATGGGCTAAGAATGACAACTGTACATGGGCTTGATTTGTCCACAGAGATGGGTCAGATTTGTTAACCCTCCCCTTTTTTTTACATTTCCGTACAATGCCTGTCATTCTTTGCTAAGTGTCCTTTGTTTTGTTGCCATGACCCTTATTCTAGAAAGTTTCCAAAACTAATTAGTTGTATTGCTTAACCTCTCCCTCTGCATTTAATTAAACTACTAATTATATTTGGAAGCCCTGAACTATTGCGATAGACTATTTACCTTGTGTCCAATTTCAGTTGCAGAAATTAGTAGGGTAACTTTAAAAAAAATGCTGTCAAGCCTTCTAATGGCACCAGTAGATAGTAATAGCGGTGGCAGAAAGGAATAACATTTGGTGGCTAGAGTGTTGGGTTGCACATTAAGTCAGTGGATTCCTTTGAGCAAGTCTCTCAGTCTAACCTACCTTACAGGAATTGTTGCAAGACTAAAATTGTCTCTGTACCCCTCCCTTTCTCCAAAGGAAACAAATAGTACCAACAACAACAACAAAAGTTCAGTGGCACACATGCAGTTTAAGGTCTCTTGCAATTTGCCATTAGTTCCTTTCTACAAGTAGAAACCATCCTACACATTATGAGCTATGAAAGCCTTTTCTGCTCTGTCAGTCAAACTGCAAGTGGACAAGTATTTTTTTTAGAGTGCTTATCCATACTAACTGAAATTTCATGGCATAGAAATATATCATGTCAGAGAGAGAGAGGAGTTCTAGAGTATAGCTTTCTCTGTTTTTATGCGAAGGAGGGTCCAAAGATGAGCATGTACTTTGGTTGTTATCACTACAAATGCTGCAGTTCCCATAAAAATCCCATATATGGTGAGGAAGGACGAGCCCAAAGCACACTCCTATGCAAGCCTATTTAGTGTCAGCCTTGCATCTGATCATTACAAAAACCTGTATTCTTTGCCCCTTTGTCCTTTTTTTTCTTTATTAGAATGCATTTGTCACTTCCTTAAATAGGTTTTGTTACAATTAATTATTTACCCTGAAATTTCCCATGAAACCTAAATTTTCTTTTCACACTTCTGCTACTATTCATATTTAACACTGACCCAAGAAAAAGCTCACTCGTTATTAGATATGAATTTGAGCATTGAAGTATCTTGGAAGATGATTTGGATTGCCACAGGACTTTATTCCAAATGAATTCAAAGAGCTAACATTGTACATGCATATCTTGTCTTCTGAAAAGTCTTTCAGTCTGCTGGTCATGATTCTTTTTTTTTGTCTCACACAGCATCAAGTAGAATAGGTTATTTTCTGAGTTCTGAAAACAGTCTTGCACATGCAGAGGAAATTGTGGAAGATAATTTCTAACATGTTATATTAAAGACATCCTGATTTGGCTGGCAGGAACAGGACCATCTGTTGTATGTTGTCATAAATGTTCCATTCAAATTATACCATCTTAAAGGAGAGGGCATGAATATGCTTTGCAAACTCAAGGATGACGTCATTTCTTGTAATTGCTGCAGTGTGACTCGGCATTTTTAAAAAATCTTTGTGTTACATGGAAATCTGATGAGCTAAAATAAGATCATATGACGGTTTGTGATCTCACCGTAGTAGAGTGTATGCCTGTTTTTAAGAAAGCATATAGTAAATTGTGTGAAGAGATGGAAAGGTAACTGGAAGTCACTCGGCCAAACTTCTGTCTATAATAGAAATGCAGAGTAATGGAACTACAAGTTCCTGGATGTTTGCAAATTGGAGCTAGCAAACTTAAAAACTCATGTTGAGAGCATAATTTTTTAGGCTTTGTTCCATCATTCTCATAACAAAAACACCGCAAAATCTCTCAAGCTTCTTTGATGAAGCCACATGTATTTCCTCCTCCTCAAATGACAGGAAGTAAGAAAGTGATTCTGGTGTTTACTGCTTGTGTTAAAAGGCCAGCTTGCTGCTGCATTTTTTTTCTATTAAAAAGGCTTCTCAGTCAATTGTTATATCAAAAATTAATATGAAATTGAAGATATATGTGAAGAAACACAGGGCAAAAGTCTCCAGTACAGCATGGAGACAGGGGAAAGAGAAGTTCAAATCCTTTCATAGCTGCTAAGTTTACGGAGTGACCTGACAGAAATCTCTCACCCAGCCTACATCACTTGGGGATGGGATGCCATGTGCCTAGAACATTTGGATAAAGACCTACTTGATAATAAAGTTTTCAGAGAATAGGTCTTTAAAAAATGGTCAACAGTTGAACTATGTTAATTTTCGTGTGATAATCTGAAAGTAGTTCTGTCAGAGAAAAATAATGTCCATTTTACATTACAGTCTATGTGTAGTCTTTTAGGTTAATTTTTTTCATATTCTTACCAACATTTTGGAAACCAAAGATACCCTGAATCATTATGCTGTTCACCTTTCTGTAACCAGCTGCTGGAAAGTCCTATTTGCTTGAATGTATCAGCTGAGAAAGAAATATGCATCTCTCAGACTGTCAAAACCTGCCCCCCTTTCAGATCTCCAATTAGCTATAATTTATATCAACACATTACCCCACCCAGTATTTCACCAAAAGGGCTAGATTCCAAGTATGAACAAGTGTTATTTTAGGATCTGGGAAGGGGAATGTTTGCATAACATTAATATTTAGATAGGTGTGGGGGGGGAATTTGGAAACTACAAGCACAGAGTCTATAGAAGAAAGGACAAGAAAGAGACTTGGCTGTGACATAACAAAGCTAATCAGTCCTGCAAAAGTCATTCATGGAGATTATTGTGAGCACTATCAGACATTAAATTGGTAATTGCACCTACTTGTTGACCAGCAGCCCTGAATAAGATTGTGACTTCAAGCTATATTCATGTGCTATACTAAAGCTTAGCATAAAACACACAAAAAAGGGCTATGGAAAATATTTTATGGTGCTTCTCATCCTTGCAATTGTAAGAGTCTCCTACTTCAAAAGGAAATGGTGGTGGTCTTTGTATTCATTGATATATTTCATTTTATTTCCTTAAAACAATCTTGCTAAGTATGCCTTTGTTTTACATTATACCATTAATGATGTCTTCTCTTTTCACAGATCTACTCTGATGGTGAGCTTCACCACTTCATCGATGGATTTAATGAGGAAAAGAGCAATTGGATGCGCTACGTAAACCCAGCTCATTCTGTTCAGGAGCAGAATCTGGCTGCTTGTCAGAATGGAATGAACATTTACTTCTATACCATCAAACCAATCCCTGCCAACCAGGAATTACTTGTGTGGTATTGCCGGGACTTTGCAGACAGGTTGCACTATCCTTCTACTGGAGACCTGGTGATGATGAATATCAGTAAGTGAATTACAATAAACATGCACATGAAGAAAGCATCCTCATAACATGTCCTTTCAGATTGGAGTTTAATAATATGGTGTTTAATTATGAGTGACTCATCTTTAATGGTAAAAGAGGTTTGCAGTGGAAGGCTTTTTTAAAAAAAGAGTCAATTTTCCTGATTAAAAACAACACCATTTGGCACCAAAAGCTTCCATACGTGTACCAGGACATCTGCTTCTAGTGCCAGCAGAACACTGGAACAGAGCCACCTAAACATCCTGTTTGTGACTTGGCATTGTTATAGCTGGAGAGCTTATCCTAAGCATCCTGACTGATGAGACATCAGGCTATAAGAATTCAAATGATTATTCGCCTATAAGCTTTAAAACGTTTGATAAAAATCAGGTACAAATATTTTTAGTGCAATACAGCACAGCCCATGCCAACATCTTTGCTACAGGGTTTTGCTTAGTAAGCATGAATATATTATTTCAAAGCTGATGTTTTATAGACTTTTCTGGGAACTTGAATACTGTTTTATAGTAGCCTATGATCTGGAAATATACATAAAGGTTAGTGATGTGTGAACTCTCCTCTGACTGAAGTGCAGTTGGGTTGCCAGTGGCATCTGAATGCTGAAAATTTTGCTTCTTACTGAAAATTAGTTTCAGTTTGGCTTGTAAATTATATGCATGCTTCCATATTGCCATTTGGGAGTTACAGTGTAAGGGAATATACCACGTTGCCTAGGAAACCATGATCCTATCCCTTTTCCTTCATTTTATGCTTTACATAATTTCTCTGTTCCTTCTGTTTGGCTGATAGTGCTGTTATTTACCTGAATTGATCCCTTCATGAAAGATGATGAGGCAGCAGCTTTAGAGGCAGCAAAGTGAGAAGAGGCACTTATTGCCATGGCTTGGCTGCTGCAGTTTCCACTAGTGATTCAGCCGGTTTCTCATGACTCTATGGGCTACCTTCACAATACATCTCATTTTTAATTGTGAACCGAGAAGGGACTGGCTCATAATTTTAAAAAGAATAGTATGAACAGAGGAAATTTGTATTATTTGTATTATGAGTTTATTTGTTTAATTTCATGACACCAGAAGGTTGCTTCCAAATGTTCTGAATATAATCATTTTATGCAAAGGAGACATTTTCAGGATAGGCATGATAACTTTTTGTTCACATCCATTATGCTCTTTGATTCAGATGGCCTAGTTATTCCTCTGCTTTTGTATCACAAAACGGTATAAAAGGGACCTTATGTGTATTGGTCACTGAAGTTAGTTTACTACTTTATTTTAACAGAACAGAGCTAGAATATTATTCCAGAACTGGCATGATCTAAGGAAGGAAACCACATTTGTATCAGTGTTGCCCATCTAAGATATTATTTCCTGATGTTGTTTGTTGTATAGAATAGATCTTTCTTACGTCATGACTTCTAATACCTAGGTGAGAATTTCAAATGCAAAGTGAAAATGCCTTTCATGTTTTCCCAAAGAAGTACTGAGAAATAAATGGCATTAATTAGTTTTGTGTACAAACAGGACAGAAGTAAACCAGTTAGTGCAGAAGCTATTTTGGCTGGGATGTAGCACATACCCTTAGAGATAAATGCAAGTACCCTTAGGTTGAACACTAAGAAAAACATCCTAATTATAACGTTAGCTAAGCAATGGAACAAGTTGCATAGGAAGGCTGAAAAATATCCTTTGTTGTAATCTTTCAAGAAAAGGCTGGACAAGTATTTATCATGCATGCTTTGGGTACAGAGTATCCTCACTTGAGGCAAAAGTGTAGGTTGGACGTCTGGACAACTTCTACATCTGGAGTAGATGAGCTGCTGTGTCATACTGAAATTATTTTATTCATTTTTGGGTATCTTCAAGTATATCCTCATGCTTTTGAATCTGTTGCTCCTTCTATCAGTGGAGCAGCATATCAGAGCCATCCACAGAGAAGTCTGGGGTTTCTGCATTCTCAGGGGCTCTCCAGGTATGCAGGCAAATATTAGCACGTAAATTAGGGGGGAAAGTATGCTTAACAAATATTCTCATTTCTGTCCAAGATCCATACATTTTTGAAAAATGTTGAGGATCATTCAAACGGTGTAAGAAAATAATGGGAAGATAAAATGGGGAAGGGAGTCTCATGTCCCACTAGGGTTGCCAAACCCCCTGGTTTGGCAGGGGTCCCCCCCTTTTGGGGGGCTTCTACCCGCTGCCGGCCAGCTGGCTGCCAGAGGAACCCCCACCCCCAAACCCCAACACCCGCAGCCACCCCTCTCCCTTCTCTCTTGAGGGGTGTGCAGGGGGGGACGCCAGTTCCTTTAAGTGCAGAAAGCCAGCGTTTCCTGGAGAGGGGGGAGAGGGAAGGGAGAGGGGCGCGCAGGGGGAGAAACACCAGCTCCTTTAAGTGCAGGATGCTGGCGTTTCTCGCACAACCGATCTCTGTCGGGTGCGCGGGGGGGGGGGAATACCAGCTCTCTGCACTTAAAGGGGCCCCTTTAAATGCAGGGAGCCAGCATTTCCCGCGCACCCCATCTCTGTGGAGATCGGGTGCGTGGGGGTAGAGAAACGCCAGCTCTCTGCACTTAAAGGGGCTCCTTTAAATGCAGGGAGCCGGCGTTTCCTGCGCACCCGATCTCCATGGAGATCAGGTGCGTGGGGAGGGGGGAATGCCAGCTCTCTGCACTTAAAGGGCCCTTTAAGTGCAGGGAGCCGGTGCTGCTGGAAGATCGGGTGGGCAGGCAGGGGGGACGTCAGCAACTTGACGTCATCATGTTGGGGATGCCCCACCCCCTCCAGGAATACCCCCCAAAGTCCCCCACTGGGGGTGATGATAGGACTTGGGAACCCCATGTCCCACCCAGTGGTTCTTGGAAAAAGGGCAAGATAAAAAGTATACTAATTTTCTACTTGCTTGTTCCCCCCCCCCACACACACACATATATACAGTTTTGTGTGGACCTATAACCAACTGAGAATGTTAAAATTGTTAGTTTAAATAAATTTGGGAATCATTCCTAAACAAAGTTACATGCTTTTAAGCCCAATGAAATCAGTGGATTAAGGGAGGTGTAACTAATTATGATTGTACTGTTAATAGAAGACACTGTTTTATTTTGTCCTTTCTGTTTTGTTTTGTTAAGTTAATTAAAAGGCTTTTAGCTAGTTCTGTCTTTCTATCACTTTTATTCTTCCATTTTCATCTTCCTATCTTTTATACTGTTTTTTCCTGGTTTTATTTTTTATCCTTGCGATAATAAATGGTGTGCCCATAAAATAGATTAACATACAAAATGCATTTGATGATGTGTGCATAATTTTAGAAGGCACGTGGATTCTCATTTATATAGAATGTGTTTCTTCTGTGGGACAAGGGCATCCATATGGAGAACAAATGTAGTCACTCTATATTAAAGAGCTGTTCACAGTGGCAGTTTGTTATATAGAATTTGCCCAGTCAGTAAAATAGAGGATAGATTTTTTAAAAAAAGAAAAATATGTAGGAATAGTTACAAACTAGTACTGATCAGTCCTGCATCAAATCTTACTGTATCAGTTCTGCAATGTGGCAAAATACACCCCAGTGCCAGTTTCATTATAGTGCAGTAGCTGGATAATTCATTGTTTATGTAGAAAATCCAGAGACGGATCCCTGCTTGGCTATGAAACACTCTACCAGTGCCATCCTAAGCTCAGAACTTAGAAGGCTATATGCTTAGAGTGGGGAAATCTCTCTCTCAGACTACTTTCCTAGGTTATTGAGATCAAGATTAGTCTAGTCTTCTTAGGGGAGTAGCAGGTTACCAGTTCAGCAACCATTGCAATCAGTAGAAGCTGGCCAGTGGTAGTGCTAAACAACCAGATCTGGAAGTCAATTAAAATCTGAAATATTGTCATTCAAACTTATTCTAAACTTCAGTGGAACTAAACTTTTACACCAAGGTCCACATGCCAGCAAACCTTGGGGACATATAGCAAGTCAGGATTTTTCTTGATTCATTGTGGAATATTAAAGCTATTGATGCAGTAGTGATTTTGTTGTTCCATAACTAGTAGCATGGCTCCAAATGTATTTCTTCTGGATCAGGACCAATGACATCAGCATAATTAGGTGATGAGCTGGGCAGGCTACCCATGACCCATTTAGAAAAGAAATTATGAAGTAATGGTAAATCTTAGTCTCCATTGCTAGCTTATGTGGAAATTTTTTTGCCTACTTCAGAACTTCTAGGTTCTCTTCCTACTAGCAAAATACATGCCTTATTTAGATAAAAATATGAATCAGCATTATTAATATTCATCACTCAAAATGTTCAGCAGCATTTACTTCTGAAATGACTTTGCACACCCACAGCTATTTTTCAAGGTCTCAGGGGAAAGAACTAGAATAAAATCTCTCAGGCTGCTAGTAGACAATCAACAAAGGAGATAGTTCTTCAAAATACAGTTTGGAATATAAAATGGTTCCTGCTGGATCAGAGCAGCGTTCCATCAAGTCTAGCATCCTTTTTCAAACATCAGCTAACCACTTGTCCTGGAAGGCCAACAAACAGGGCACAGAGTTTGTTTCCTTGCCCTGGTATTCAGAAATTCCCTTACATGGCTAGTAGGCATTCTTGGATTTATAATCCATGAATCTATTTAAACCTCATTGGGTGCCCCTGAGTTCTATTATTATGGAAGAAAAAGCTTACTCTGTCCTTGTGCATAATTTTTATAAACTTCGATCATATTCCACCTTAGTGATTTTTCCTAAAGTTAAAAGCCCCAGACTCTTCAGTTTTTCCTCATAGGAAAAGTGCTCCACTCCCATAACTATCTTGGTAACCCCATTCTGTACTCTTTGCAGCCCTGCAATATCATTTTTGGAGAGACAGCAAGCAGAACTGTACAAGTATTCCATAACAATTTTTCATACACTTGGTGCTTCATTGATTTCCATGGGACTATGTGGCACAGTTAGTCATCAGATTAAATGTAATGGGAGAGGGAAAAGAGGGATGGTGTAAACATGTTAAGTTTAGAACTTACATATATTTATAGTTTCTCTCTCTCTCTCTCTCTCTCTCTCTCTCTCTCTCTCTCTCTCTCTCTCTCTCTCTCCACACACACACAAGGGAAGGAACAATATTTTGGGGGGCCCTGGTAGGAAACATGCTTTATGGTGCAATCCTAAACATAGTTATTCCCTTCTTATTGAAATAAATGGGTTTATAGGAGTGAAACTTTGCTTAGAACTGTGCTTTAGTTTAGAAAGGTCCTTATTGGACCTTTCTGCCAAGAAATTACAATTGCTTGATATGGTTTTATCTATGTTTCATAATGTCTGAGATCCAGGAAACCCAGGTTCAAATTCCCCTGGGTGACCTTGACACAGGATTGTTACTGTGAGGATAAAATGGAGGCATGGAGAATGAAGTTTTAAGTCACTATGTGTCCCCATGGGGAGAAAAGGGGTGTATAAATATCTAAATAAAAAAATACAAATAAGAAGGATTCCATGTATCACACTTAAAATCGCTTTAGAATTGTTGGATCTTGTTTCCATTCAGTTTAATCTGATGCTGTTCACCCTCCCAATGGAAATTCATAAATTAATATGATAAAGTAGATTTCATGCTGGTAATGTGTTCTTACTTTAAGAAATTGCTATACTGACTTGAAAGATTCATTTTCTTATTGTTGTATTTCAGCACACAGCCATGTAAATCCAAAGCAGCAAACTAATAGCAAAGATGAACTTTATCAGAAAAATGTGCCCAAAAGAGAGCACAGTGTGAAGGAAATCCTGAAAAATGATTCTAGTCATCCTAAAGGAAAAGACTTATTCCACACCCACATTTCATCACATATTGAAGAAAAAGACTTTGAAGGCTTAAGAAAAAACTGTAGCCCCGAAAGGCCTTTCTATCCACGCATTGTCTACCCAATCCGACCTCATATCCCAGAAGATTACCTGAAGGCCTATGGGTTTGAGAGGCCTAGTTACATTGCCCATTCACCCATCCAGTCTTCTACCACACCAAGCCCCTCAGCAAGAAGTAGCCCAGACCAAAGTTTAAAAAGCTCAAGTCCTCACAGCAGCCCAGGAGTTACAGTTTCACCCTTGGCTCCTGTGTCTCAAGAGCACAGAGAACCTTATCCATACTTGAATGGACCCTATAGCTCAGAAGGTTTAGGTTCGTATTCTGGATATGCAACCTCCAACCATGTCTCACAAGCCTTTATACCTTACAATCCCCCCTACCATAAATTCCTGTTACCACCATACAACATGAGCTGTGGCAGCCTGAGTACTTTGAGCAGCATCAGCAATTTCAACCTTCTCCCAAGGATGTATCCCTTCTACAGCAACATATTCAATGGAGGAAGCCTTTCTAGTCATATGCTGAATCCATCTTCCCTTCCAAGTTCATTGCCATCTGATGGAAGTCGCCAGCTGTTGCCACCTGACCACCGAAGGGACTTCCTTATCCCTGCACATAACAGTGCCTTCTCCATCACAGGAGCTGCTGCCAGCATGAAAGACAAACAGTGCAGCCCAACCAGTGGGTCACCCACAGCTGGCACGGCAGCTACTTCAGAACATATAATGCAACCTAAACCTACCTCAGCAGGGCTGGCTGCCACCAGCAGTGAAGAAGCCATGAATCTCATCAAGAGCAAGCGTAATATGACTGGTTACAAAACCCTTCCATACCCACTGAAGAAACAGAATGGGAAGATAAAGTATGAATGCAACGTCTGCTCAAAAACCTTTGGCCAGCTCTCTAATCTGAAGGTAGGCTTTTAAAGGAAAACATCTTATTTCTAGATAGTACTAATGAGATCACTCCTTCTTCTTAACTATCTGAAAACTGGGTCAGCAAATAATAGCTTGTTTGCCAAAACTGGTTTCCTATACTATTTCCTGCTGCCATTGAACAAAGTATCTAAAATGGGCAGGAGCCCATAATCCCACCCACTTTCATTTTAAATGATTTTCCATTCTGTTATGTAAGGCTTTGATAGCTCTGTTGAGGAAGTGGGACACATCCATAGAATAAATCATTCAGATTTGAAAATAATCATGTGGCACATATGTTTTAATGATGATAGCATCTTTTTAGAAGAAGAAGAAAGTGGCATGGAGTCACATCCCCATCCACTGGGTGTTCCAGGCAAGAGACAAGCAGAGGTTGTTTGCCATTGTCTTCCTCTCCATAGCAACTCTAGTCTTCCTTGGTGGTCTCCCATCCAAGTATTAACCGTGGCCCAACCCTGCTTAGCTTCCAACCTTCGCTGATCTCGGACTAGGCTGGGCTATTCAGGCTGCTAGGAATGTAAAATATTGTGCAGCACATAGGAAGAGACTGCTGGTTCTAAGCAGTGACTAAGAAGAAGAAGAAGAAGAGGAAGAGATTGGATTTATACCCCGCCCTTCACTTGGAGTCTCAGAGCGGCTTACAAACTCCTTTCCCTCCCCCTCCCCACAACAGACACCCTGTGAGGTGGGTGGGGCTGAGAGAACTCTGACAGAAACTGCTCTTTTTCAAGGACAGCTGTGCCAGAGCTTGTGACTGACCCAAGGTCACATCAGCAGGTGCAAGTGGAGGAGTGGGGAATCAAACCCGGTTCTCCAGATTAGAGTCCGCACACTTAACCACCACACCAAACTGGTGTGGCAAATGTGGAACCCTGTACCTTATTTGAGTAGTCATTGAGAGGTAGTAGCAGAAGCAGGAAGTAGATGGAATTCTGTAGCTGTCTGCTGGCCAGAATCATCCACCATAAGCCATTAATCTCATAATCTGTGCTGGTACTTGGTACTGCTGAGCCACACAGCCACTGTGTTCCTGCACTGTGCTGACTCACTTAACACTGCCACCTTGTGATGCCCACCAGCAGGGTGTATGGGCATCCATCTCCTTTGGTTGGCGGTAGCAGCCTTATTATCTGACTCATCCACAAGAGCAATACATTAAGAGAAGCAATATTACAGCCTCAAATGTTTTGCACAAATTGGCTCTAACTTGGTTAATTTATATAAGTCATTTTATCTTTGAACATCAGTAAAATAAAACTACAAAACATACATAGAATTTGGAAAACAGTGTTGTAGCTGCATTTTTTTTTAAAAAATGTATTTCTTTAACTTTTTAAAAGCCTGTTAGTTTATAGTTTCATTTATAGCTTAGTCTATGGTCTGATTATAGTATATTAAAATATTGCCGCTTTTGCGATTTTTTCCTGTGTTTAGGCATTTTGAGTACTCAACTAGTGCATAATATTGTTATTCAACATACTATCTTAATATTTATGGGGTTTTTTAAAAGGTCCACCTTCGAGTACACAGTGGAGAAAGACCATTCAAATGTACTACATGTAATAAAGGATTTACTCAGTTGGCTCACCTCCAAAAGCATTATCTGGTACACACAGGAGAAAAACCTCATGAGTGTCAGGTATGTAGCCATTTCTGTGGTGAAATTATGTCTTGACACAGTGATGCATCAGTGCTCATGAGGCAAAACTGAGCATGCAGCTGGAATGGTATTTGATATTGACAGGTTTCATAGCTGGAGAGAGAGAGATTGCATTTCAATTGAAGAAACGAATTTTTGTGTTTGGTAGCAGCCACTCTAGAAGCATGAACATCAAAGAAAGTTCTGGTTGCAGACATGGTTCTGCCTTATGTACACATATTTTAACTCCTGGCTGTTTAGAAGTCTGGAAGACATGATGTTGCAAGCAAGCAACCATAGCACCATATATTATTTAACAGGGATTAAAAAGCAAGTGGGAAATGGGTGTGACTTTAAATGAGGGCAAAGGCTAAATGGGATTAAAAATTCAACGTGACTTATGTTTTCTTGTTTAAATTGCCTTTTTGAAACACACACATTCAATTCCAGTTTCTCATGCCTTGATTGCTTCTCTCTAATTAGGTTTGCCATAAACGATTCAGCAGCACAAGCAACCTGAAGACACATCTGCGGCTCCACTCTGGAGAGAAGCCTTATCAGTGCAAACTCTGCCCTGCTAAATTCACCCAGTTTGTGCACTTGAAACTGCACAAACGTCTCCACACCAGAGAGCGCCCGCACAAGTGTATCCACTGCCATAAGAGCTATATCCACCGCTGTAGCCTCAAGGTCCACCTTAAGGGCAACTGCCCTGTTGTCCCCGCATCTAACCTTTCCACAGAGGACTTGAATCGGATCAATGAAGAAATAGAGAAATTTGACATCAGTGACAGTGCAGACAGGTTGGACGATGTCGAGGACAATGTTGACATGGCATGTGTAGTCGAAAAAGAAATATTGGCTGTGCTTAGAAGAGAGATAGAAGGAGCCAGTCTTAAAGCAACATTGCAGAGGAACCCGGGGAATGTGCTGATTGCCTCAGGATGTAATCTTTATGAATCATCAGATATTGTGAAGTTGCCTCATGGTCATCCACTATCTCGGGTACCTGTAAAGGTCAAGCAAGAAACAGTTGAACCAATGGACCCTTAAATACTGTGTGTGAGTTTGCATGTGTGTGTGTGTATGCACATGCACACATATGTACATGTGTGTTTGTATGTGTGGCAAATTAAATGATTTTTTTAATTTATGACTTGGCAAGTCAGGGTGCCTGTAGCAGTTGCTTGTATATTGTGTCAGTGCTGCAAAGCAATCTTGGCTTATGATAGTTTCTGTAAGGTCATTTGAAAGAAGGAACTCCAAAGTTGTTATTCTCAGGGCATAAAACTAGGCAAGGACTGTATATTGCCTTCCCGACTTCTTTTAAAAAAGAAGACGACGACGACAATCTCTCTTCCGCAATCATTTTTGAGTAATAGTACTTCCTAATTTATTATGCAATTTACCATTCAAAAGCAATAGTAAAAAAGAAAGCAATTACAATGATAGGAAAGTTCATTGTAATTTTGAATATAAGTGTTTATATTTTGTCTTGTGGCCATTCTTTGTAGTTTTTTTTTCTGCACATCTGTTTTTTTAAAAACCTCAAGATTGGCAGGGGGGTAGTGGGACATTATGTACCTCTTTCAAGAATGAGGTTTTTGTTTTGCCAAAGGTAAATGCTAGGAGTCCCTTTAGTTGGAACAATACCAGGTAACCAGATAAAATGACCTGGAGTTTAAAATTGCCCCCAGAAAAGGGAATGTGATGCTGGTGTAGGCAGAGACAGAAAGTTAAGAGGTGTTTCTATCTGCAGCGCTGCCTGTCGAGAATGGCTGGGGAAGTTAAGTGCTCTGCCAGAAATAATACTTCCAAAAAAAGTAGTTGTACATCGTGAAGTTTTGAGCAATAGTATTACAAAAAGTTTCTCTCCCTCTCTTAAACTGTTTGTAGAAACACCCCAAAGATGTTTCCTGCAAAGGAGGTTTTTGTTAAGGCTTTTTCCAGTGAAGTCTTATTGGGGAATCTGATGTGTGGATTCTCGGGGGAAGAAAACGTGATGGATTTTTCCCCCCTCATCTGTCTGCCACTTTCCTTGGAAAGAAGTTGGTAACAAAGTCCTTTATTGGCATACCAGTTTTTTGTTTGTTTTCCTGTATGACTCAAGATTTCTCTCAGTATTTGTATTAGTACATTTTGTGGTTAATTTAATTAAAGATTCAAAGGGCATTGCAAAGTTGCTGAACAACAGTTACCTCATTGAGTGTGTCCAGTGGTGCAGAAAATGCTGTTTTATCTAATGCTTTGCTACTTTAGAGAACAAACCAAAATGTGCAGAGAAGACAGAATGCTTTTTTTCTTTTTTCTTTTTTTTTGTGTTGCTAAGCCCAAAGATATCATGTCGGCATACAAGGTGTAGCAAAGAATACATGTGTATTTATAGATATTTATACCAATATACCATATATGTGTGAGTGTGCATGTGTGTATGTGTATTTTTATACTACTTAAGTTGGTGAGCCAAACTCTGTAATATCACCTATTTTACATAACCAGCTTCACCCTCCAAAGGGCTAAATTATCAGTCTGTAAACCATAATACATGCTAAGGAATTCATCATCTGTCAATATACATGTACAGTATTTTACCCAAAGCTTGATCCTGCAAGCTGCTGTTGATATGAATATATTTATCCATATAGTACACACAAAGAATTCATTAAGATTTTATGGCTTCTATCCCCTTAGATTCTTGCTGAGGACTTTGAAACAAAGCAACAACCAAAAATCTAGGCTGGAGAAACCCCCACACCCCAAATCTCACCCACCTATATATGGTATAAATATAATACAGACTGGTAAAGAGTAGAATGAACTATTTAAAGTGTTTGGGGAAGTGTGCCATCATTCCCTCTGTCTCTTAAAAGGCTGCAAGATTGCATGTATGTAGCAGAAGAAAAGAACCACCACTGTTACACTCTTTACCATTGTGTGTATATATATTCCTATCTCCTTATAGTTTTAAGGGATTAGACTGTTTCAAAAATGATCTAAATCTAAGGCCTTCTTATTTATAAGACCAAACATATCCATGGCCTAATAATAATCCAATGATAACTTTAAATATAATTTTGAAGGAAGGACTGCAGTTCATTACATTTCTGCTCCCATAAATTGTGAGGCAAGCATTTTTAAATGTAGCAACGTTTCATAAATGTAGTACTTAACTGTAGGATGAACCAAAGTACCACTACTATTAACACTGGACACACACTTGCTTTTATTAATTGCCTGTAGTGCTTTCTTGTATTTGATACAAATTTTACAAAGATTTATATGCAGCTTTAAGAATTTTACTCCTTCTCTGTCCAATCTTTTCCTCCCCATTTAGGACCTTTAACATGTGAATGTAGCAACAATCAGTGTTTGGTGTGTTTTTTTTGAAGAAGAGGCTCTGACCAAAGTTAACAGGCTTTTTACTTTGCTAGAACAAACTATCTTATGTTTACGTACTGGTTTACATTGTTATTTATATGCAAAATGTCAAAATGTAAATTAAATATAAAATGTTCTTTGCTTACCCATGTCTTTCATGAGTTTCTTATACAAACATTTGGTGGCCCTTGGAATTTCCAGTTTCCTTTCCCTGGGTCAAATACATGGGAAACTATGCCTTGTTTCCATATCCACTTCCCTTCTGTCAACCTCAAAGGCATTCCTCTGCTGTGGAGTGTATTCTTCTTGCACTGGGCACTCTTCAGCTTCTTGAAAGACACTGCTCTTGTCTGAGCAGAACTGCCTAGCACCAGAGGAATGCAAGCTCCACAGTAGAGGACCACTTCTACAATGAACAGAGGACCGCAAGAAGAAACAAAGTAGAGGATCCAAACCATCAAATGTTGACAGTCATAAAGTTCTGAATAATGAGCACATTTGCAAGAGGAAGGATTATATGTTGTTTCTGGAATACAAACACAGATTCTATAAATGATGGAACAAAATTTCTGTAAAAGAAAATTCAAGTTCCTTTAGTTGTATTCCTATACAATTCCAATGCATACTTATTGACTTTTAGTGGGTCCTACCATGGGATGCAATTTCCTATTCATGCCATAGTTTTATTTCTGTCTTTGAAAACACAGCACCATTTTAGAATGCCCAGTGTTACAGTAAGAAACTATTCCAGAATGCCCTTACCATTCAAAGTTGTTGAGAGAGCTTGGCTATTTGAATTCTCCTTATTCCACATTCCATTGTTGCAATGTAACTACTGGGGTTCTGAGGTCACATATCCGATGTTGGCTATCTCATTTGTGGGTGACACAGCTCACTTCTTCAGCCAAATGTATTTTTTCCCTTGTCCTTCAGACACCTGTGGCACAATGCTTTCTGTTTCCTGCCATTGTTTTCTTGTGCCTCAGTGTAATGATGGTCATTAATGGGGTTGCCGTATTGCTCAGACATCTGGCAAAGGTTCAGATTCTAGGTATGTTACCTGTGTACTGATCTAAATACCTTGACCTAGATCCTCAGCTTTTTTTCTGTAACACACAAACAGAGAGAGGTGCTTCAGAGTTTATGAAATTCCTACATGGAAGACACTCCCATGTGGGAATGAATTAGCTAAATGCATTTAATCATAATGTATGACAATCCTACACACACCTAAAACTCACTTTACAGAGCTAAAGTGATTATCCATTCTAGTAACTACTGGACAATCCAGATAAAGACAAGTGAGCTTCTCTTAACACCAACAAAAACTACATATCTCACTGTGTGCTAATAAAATGGGACTTTCCCCACACAGTTAGTTCCACATTTACTATTTCTATGATCTAGAAGCAGATCTAAAACAGGATAGGCCATGTGGCATCCCTTCCTATCAGAACTGCTAAAGGAATAATGTTCCTTTTCATATTGAGACTCTCAACTCTGTATGATGTTTTAAAAGAATTTCTCAGTCTTCTTAAATTCATTTAAACATCTGTCTCAAGAATTTGAAAAGCTGCCAGTGCAGAACTGTGGAGTTAAGAAAACCAGAGCACCTTCATCATAAATGTGCCAAATGATGCATGTTAGAGGCCGATATTCTACAGAACAATTGCTGATTTTTTTAAAAAAAAATGTGCATACATACACACCTTGGATTAACCACTGTCATCATAAATCATACTTCATTACTTGGCAAGGAAAGATTCTTGTGCTGGAGAGTTATGTCCCAGGGTCATTGTAAGCTTTAGAAGATGTTTCATAAAACACATTATAGTCAAAAGGCAATGCAGATTATAACCAGTGATCTTTTCAGGCTTCAGTGGACTAGCAGCTGCTGTTTTTCTTGCTTTGGAAAAGCCAGTGTATGTCTCTCTTGAGCCACTGAAAAAAACCTACTGGATTTCAAGACTGAGGATCAAACAGTGCAAAAAATTACTATTATTATTAGACAAGGAAGGTAGTAACCCAACAGATTGGATCCAAGCAGGTTTTTTCCACTCACCTAAAGCCCCCATCCCAAATAGCTTTTGTCCATGCAAGCCCCGTGATCTTCAGTGAAGCCTTTTCTGGTGATCAAAGAGATCCTTCTCCTCCACAATAAAAATAGTGGCTGGATCCAAACCTCTGTATGTAATGAGCACCTCCAATAAAATATTGCACAGGAATTCCTGGCTACCTCTTAATATGGCTGTTAAGTTCCCAAGGGTCTTACAAAAGCTTGTATTATAATGCAAGCAACATGTAGTAAGCTTATTAAGTCTTTGTTTAAACAAGATTGACATTTCTTATGCTTTGCATTTTAGGAAAGATTTATTTATATGTAGTCTCACTGCACAGGCTGAACCATGCCATTTCTAACATGGATGTGACAGATGAGATTTTCTAAGTTTTGTTTGTGTAAGGATTCAAGAGTACAGTGGGTGTGAAACATCTAACTTCATGACCCATTCACCCTCATAGTAAGTTAAGATCCCTGGGGTGCTGTGGGGAGATGGGCTTCTGAAAGTGTGTGATTCAATCATTGGGAATATAGAGAGTGGGGTCTATAACAGGCATTTTGACCACATGGTGACTTCCCTGCCTAGTTACCATGGACATCACATGCTGTCTAGATAGGTTAATAGATAGTGCTAGGGAGGAGTCAGCAGTCATGGTGCACGTTGACACCAATGACATTGGGAAATGTAGTTGTGTGGTCTAGGAAGAAAAATGTAGGTTACTGGGTAGAAAGTTAAAGTCCAGGACCTCAAAGGTAGCAATCTCAGAAGTGCTGATGGTTCCACATGCAGTGCCAGCTAGACAGGCACAGATCAGGGGTCTCAATGAGTGGATGAGCCAGTGGTGCCAGGAGGAAGGGTTTAGATTCATTAGGTGCTGGGGAACTTTCTGGGACAAAACAAGCCTGTACAAAAGAGATGGGCTTCACTTCAACCAAAAGGGAATCAGGTGGCTGGCGATTAATACCAAAAAGGTGGCAGAGCAGCTTTTAAACTAATCCAAGGGGGGAAGTTGAGAAGTCTCCAGTTCAGGACAAGTCAATCCAAAGGGGTGATTGTATAAAAACTCAATGTAATATTGATAGGAGTGTAATAGAACTTGGGAATGAGGGCCATGTGTGGTGACTGAGGGGTCAAGGGAGACAAGGGTTACTGGAGAAGGAAACACATTATAGGTATCTATACAGCAGTGCTAGAAGTATCCAAGCCAAGATGGGGGAGATGGATTGCTTGGTGTTCAATATCTATCTATTTATTTATTTAACTCATTAATTAGATTTATATCCTGCCCTCCTCGCTGAAGCAGGATCAGGGGATACAGTAGGATTTAGATACAGTAGGTATCGCAGAAACATGGTGGAATGGGGAAAATCTATGGGATACAGTCATTCCTGGATATAAACTCTATAGGCAGGACAAGGAGGGTTAGGTTGATGATGATGTTGCATTGTACATCAAAAAGGGCATAGAATCAAGTAAGTCAGAAAATGGGAATGAACTCCCCAACAGAAGCGATCTGGATGGAAACACTGGGCCCTAAGAGTTACTTAACAGTGGGAGGTGTACTATTGCCCACCTGATCAAACCATTGAGGCTGATCTTGAGATGGAGAAGGAAATAAGGGAAGTAACTGAGGGAGAACTGAATCAAATTGAGGTGACCAGAGATGAAGTTCTAGACCTACTGGGAAAATTAAACACCAATACATCTCCAGGTCTTTATGGCACACACTTGAGAGTTCTTAAGGAACTCAGAAGTGAGATACTCCTATATGTGACCTATCACTAAATTCAGCTGCTTTACCAGAAGACTGGAGAGTAGCAAATGTGACACCACTTTTTAAAAAGGGATCCAGAAGGGAACCAGGAAATTACAGGCCAGTCAGCCTAATATATGTCCCAGGCAAATTAGTAGAAACTATAATCAAAGATAGAATTGTTAGGCACATAGAGGGACAAAATCTGCTAAGGGAAAATCAGCATGGCTTCTGCAAAGGGAAGTCCTGCCTCGACCACCTTTTGGAGTTCTTTGAGAAAGTAAACAAGGAAGTAGACAATGGTGATCTGGTAGACATTATATGCCTGGACTTTCAAAAGGCTTTTGACAAGATAGCTCACCAAAGACTCTGAGTAAACTTAGCAGTTATGGGATAAGAGGACAGATTCTCTTATGGATTAAAAACTCGTTAACTGACAGGAAGCAAAAAGTAGGAATCAATGAACAGTTCTCACATAGAATCATAGAATCGTAGAGTTTGAAGGGAACTTCAGGGTCATCAACCCCCTGCACAATGCAGGAAATTCAGAAACACCTCCCCCCACACCCACAGTGACCGCTGTTCCATGCCCAGAAGATGACAAAAAAACATCCTGGAACCCCAGACAAACTGGTCTGGAGAAAAATTGCTTCCTGACCCCAAAGTGGCAATCAGCATTTCCCTGGGCATGTAAGAAAGGACTACAAGAACTAAGCACTGATGCAACCCTTCCTGCCCTCCCTCTCATGATCTGCCTAATTTCACAGAATCAACATTGCTGTCAGATGGCCATCTAGCCTCTGTTTGAAAACCTCCAAAGAAGGAGAGCCCACCACCTTTGGAGGAAGCCTGTTCCACTGAGGAACCATTCTGTCAGGAAGTTCTTCCTAATGTTTAGCCGAAAACTCTTCTGATTTAATTTTAACCCGTTGATTCTGGTCCAACCTTCTGGGGCAACAGAAAACAACTCTGTACCATCCTCAATATGAATCCTGAATAGAAATGTATTTGTATTTAGCCATAGACCATTACAAACCAAGGATAACAACATAGAGGGATACTACAAATCTGAATACTGGTATGAGAGTAAAAGTTAAGATAATATCTCTCCCTTATTATAATTGAATAGCAACGTTCTATTTCGCAACATTCTACATTTGGCCTCTTTAGTGTTAGGCCGGAAGAACTGCCACTCAGAAGACACTGGCTGGGTTGACTG